CGATGGGCACGTTGCCGTCCATGGCCGTCGCGGCCTTGAACGCGGCGACAGCCTGGAGCAGCGCCCGCTTCGACTGCGGCGGCGCGACGGGACCGCTCCAGGACCAGCGCTCGAAGGCCGCGGCGTTGAGCGGCTGCAGCGCTGCGCCGAGGCGCGGTCGCGGCGCAAACGCGGTCGCGCAGGATGCCAGGGCCAGGACTAGCGCGCTCGCCATCGCAAATGCGTGACTCGAGCTCAGCATGCGCTGGCCGGGAAAAATAGATGAAACATCGACTTTTAGTCTTGCCGTGACGTCCTTGTTCAAGAAAACGTGTTGCAGCGGATCAAAACAAGTTGAATGTTTGGGTTGCAGCGGATCAAAACAAGTTGCAGCGGATCAAAACATGTTGCAGCGGATCAAAACAAGGCGAGTTTTATAAAAACCCCTAGGATTTACATTATACTGTATACATACTATTCCACTACATTTTACCGTACCACTTGCTCGGCCCGGGTTGGTGGCCTACCGAGCCCACGGCCGACACCCCCCCGCGGTTTCGGCTCGACGGCCCGCGGCCCCGGCGCCCTTGACGTCCACGCGTCCCCGGGGCGCACGGGTGCGTAGACGCGACATGATTTCGATGGTGTTGCGACTCTAGCGAGTCGAGTTTAGGCCTACGCGCGGTGGTGCACCAGCATGGCCCATTATTATTATTATTATTATTATTATTATTATTATTATTATTATTATTATTATTATTATTATTATTATTATTTATTATTATTATTATTATTATTATTATTATTATTATTATTATTATTATTATTATTATTATTATTATTATTATTATTATTATTATTATTATTATTATTGGGGATTTTGCGTCGGAGAAGCCGCACGCCCAAGAGCACACACGGCCGATAGGATTCCCTTCGATTCTTCCCTGCGCCCCAACTTCCCTAAGAGTTCGCTACTAGACAGGCGCCTAGAGGTAACCTTGGGCGCTGTTACGAACCGACGACGTCCCCGCCCTCGCCGTCGACGCCCGCGAGCTCGAAGCGATCGAGCCAACGCGCGACGCAAGCAGAGAAGCAGCAGTCGGCCGTCGCCGAAGACGCGGCCCGGGGGATGGCCGTCAAAAGGCAGTCGCGCCGCCGGTGCGACGCCACGGGCGCGACGTCGCATCTCGTGCGCAGGCACGTCGCGATCTCCGGCGATTCCGCCGCGGCAGAGGCCGGGCCCGCGACGCGGGCCGGGCGCCGCGGAGCGCGCGATTATCGAAGCAAAAAAGCGCCCGCCTAGGACCTCGGCGGCCACTTGCCGTCGCGGAGCCGCTGCGCCAGCAGCGTCTCGTCGGCGATGGCCGTCACGACGCCGCGGCAGTTGCCGCGCAGGCACACCGCGCCGAGCGCGACCTGCGCCTCGGGGCCCGGCCGGTGCGTCATGCGGCTGCCGTTGACGGCCTTGAGCGAGATCTCGAAGTCGTCGGTGCTGCTGAGCACGGAGAAGTCCGCCGGCGCCGTCTCGCCCTCCTGGAGCAGCACGACGTCGCCCCGGACGACGCTGCTAGCTTCGACGTCGCACCACTCGCCCTCTCGTAGCACGAGCGCGTCCTCGGGCACGCTCGCCGCGAACGTGCGCATGGACGGCAGCGAGTAGAGGCAGGGCAGCA